TTGTTGTTTTCTTTCAAACCCACAATTACGGTTCACTTTACCAAAAGCCAGAGCACTTGGCTCATCCTTGCGCCAACTCAACTCAGACATACCGCGCAATGCAGCTAACTCCCTAGATGGGCCTTCCACCCCCAAATTTTCCACTTAGGCAAATTAATAATCAGGGAAGATGGGATACACCCAGAAGAGAGAAAACCACTTATTCAGCAAGTCAAAAATGGATACGCTGGCACTCAAACTTATAGTTGAAAGTGAAATGGATTCTGCAAAGAATTCTGAATTTCAACTGCCTACTAGCTACAGTAAATATTTCAGGGGTGTCCCCAAGATCATTTTTACTGAGGACAAATTGTACATTCCCCTACTGCAAAGCAAAGGCTGGTCTGATAGGGAACAGGCAGTCTTTTTAGACCTTTAACGGATTTATTCCCTTATGTTCAATATTTTTCAGAAAGGATGTCACTCCCACAGAGAATTAAGCTGCTCCACATTTTAAGAACTCAAATGTTCCAAGTGAAACCCGACTGAAATTTCAGAAGCTGGTATTAAAAAAAAAAAATACAGAAAGAAAAGAAAAAAATATCTGGTGGTTTAGAATGCTAAAACCATTCAGACTAAAAGACAGCAGCAACTAGAAATCTAGAAACACATCGATCAAGCTAACTGTAATCTCACACAGCTTGAGGAACTTATGTGTGTTTATGCTTTGCGTGCCTATCTTTTCACATATAAAAGACGACATCTGAAAGGGAGGTAACGTGAGAGCTTGCTTTGTAATCTTAACTATCCTCCCATAAACTTAACCAACAAAAATAATAATTAACATAGGTGTTTCATAATCCTTCCAAAATATTTTCTCAGTAAGCAGGTAAGACTCTGTTTAATGTGGGCATACGCCAATGCATGAAAACTATTCTAAACGAATGTTTTTGCAGTGGTCTGGAGGATCCTGAGACTAAACGCTACCATTCCGCAGCTGCAAATTTGCCCTACACCGGATTACTGTGCAACCCTGCAGAGAACTTACAGATGGAGGAAAGTCAGGACGAAAAATGCCTTAAACACATTAACACTTGTAATTCTGTGCTATTCAAGAAGCTGGAAGGTCTCTGATGCAATTTAGGACTGATTTACATCTATCCTTACTAAACTAAAGGCTGCCTCAGAAGACAGCACAAAAGGCAGCAGCATGGTCACACTGAAGGGGCATGCCAAGCCACCCCGGTTCCCGAACTGTGCCTAGGGCTGCTAGGGGTGCAGCTGGTATCTTTTGCAGTGCCTGGGGGAAATTTCTTCCAGTGGCAACAAGGCCTTCTATAGTCTTTTTTACTTAAAGGAAGTAGACAAGAATAAGTACTTACCACCTCAATTTCCACCTTATATGAAATGGGAGATAAAACCTGGCTTGCCATTAAAATAAATAAAAACTGAGTTGAAAAAATTATCAGTTGTATGAAAAACACAAATTTCATGTGAGGTAATGCAACTTGCCACCTAGCTCAAGTTGAGACAGTTTTACTGTAGCCTTCATCAGCATATTTGTTGATGCCTGCAAATATAAACTTTAACACGTGCCAAGAAGAATTAAATACTTCCAGTAACAACGAAAACCTTGAAACTGAAGTTAGCATTAATATACGTAGAGGCTTTTTTCACCAGAAAAGGAAGAAAGGTGCTACAAATCAATGCTGATTCCTAACAAACATAAAGTCATCCACTGTACAATACTCCAATTTGCAGAAAATTGGTACAATGCAATATTTAACCTTGGCAAGACTCACTTAATTATTTCAAATTAATAATTTAAGGTATCAAGGGTAGGTGTAAGCTTTACATGAACTCCCAAGGAGTCTTGCATTTGTGAGAATTACACATGTGTACTTCCCCTTTGTGAAGTCCTGCACATTAACTTAGTTTAGATGAGGTTTTCTTTCTAAAGCTGGTCTTAGAGCTGTCAATGTTATTTGGTAATGCCAACTCTGCTGCATTTATCACAATAACAAAAATTAAGATACATATTATATAAAAAGCTGTTTTATTAACTTTGTGAGTCATCAGGTAACATATATGATCAGTTCCCAGAAATTAACTGATGAGAAATCAAAGAAGATATTTAAGTTTTATGTTCTGATTGATGTTACCTCAAAATATTATATCGCATATTAATTTAAACTAAAAAGCAGATAAAAATAGAAAAAAAATATCACGAACATCCTAATGTTATTTTCAGCTACCAAATTTTCTCCTGCTCGGTTCAGTATGTATCAGGAGACAACTTCAAAGACATCCTGCAAATTCTCTGCACAATTCCACTATTAACTAAATTCTGACGTCCTTCCCACTACCAATTCATCCCATAATCCCATAATGCTAGTGCAGAAATGGCACTCAGTTAGGAATGCCAAATCCCAAAACACACTTGTGGTAATTTCGTTTCAGGTCTCCAATAATGCTAAGGTTGCTTGCTTGATGTTTGTGAATTTTGGGCAGCGTATCTTAGGAAGAAGAGTGACTTGTATGTGATGCAGAAACGGTCCACGTGCCAATTACCACGGCAGTCGCTATCGTTCCCAAACAAACCACAAAAAAAAAAAATCAACACCAGAAAAGAGCAAGAGGAGCAGCAGGCTTAGAAAAAAAAAATAGCAGTACAATTTTAAAAGGTACAGGAATATTCAGGGAAAAAGCAAATTATTCTCCAAGTATAACGCAATATATGGTAAGTGTGAAAATATCCTAAAAGAACTGGGACACTAAAAGGAAAAAAAACAATTTGCTATCTCCTGGTATTGAAAAAAAACCTTGAAATAAAGATGCCTAAAGCATGATTTCTAGTTCACCAGCTACAATTCAGTTGAAATGCTGATGCTTACTGGCTATTCATCTGAAGTAACACTACCGCAGCTGTTATATTATCCATTTTTTTAATAGTATTTTCTTTGTACTTCTCCTATATCCTTCACTGTGTGTAACATGCTCCCAAAAGAGATGCAGTCAGAGTTGAACTTTCAGGAAGCGCCATTAGCGGCACTCGGACGTGTTTTCTTTTCTTCTGCTTTTACAGTTGCAAACATCCCAATACAAGTAACAGTGGAACGGGTCCCATTACAAAGGCTGATCATTTAACATTTACTCAAGTTCCCTTTACATTTTTAATCTTTGCAAAACATTCCCTTAAAAACAGGTATTGTATTACAGCAGTATTAATGAAAAAAAGTGCCAACTGCCAGTGCCAAGTGCCAAAGTGGCATTAAAAATTTGATTTGTAAACATGGGAACCTCACTGGCAAAGCTGCAAATCAGACAACAACAGGACTGGGAATGCACAGGGGCTGTTTTGGTTAAACGTTCATAGCAGCAGATAAGCAGGCATAATAATCAGTATGTTGTTTGGAACTGCAATAAAATGCTACTTAATTCGGAATAAAATTTTACACTGACATCCATTTCAGTTTGGGGACACCAACCATTTTATGATAGAAATATCACATCTGCTGCACATTACACACTAGCAGCGCTGAATTACAAAGGTTTTGATCTGTTTGAAGGAACAGGCGGAGAGGATGGGCATTTGTTTTTCTGAGAAGAGTTACTACTACATATGCAGGTTTATAGGGTAAAATACAGCAGCCTATATAATATACGAAGTACTCTCCCACGAGTATCAGAAAAAGATGGCATCTCAACAGTCCACCCATAAACAAATTTTAAAAGCCACACCCAAATTAAACTGAATGCAGAAACCTTTTATATCAGGTCTTAAATGAAGAACAAATAGTTTCTCAGAGAAAAATAGCTGAAATGCTCAAAATTCAGGAGAACTGCAAGGAAGATACTCTACTGGGGCTCTTCCAGATGGCGGTATCAATGAGATTTCTTTATCAAGTGGACATAGCTCCTCAACAACACCAGGAGACTCTAAAATATTCCAAAAGATCAGTTTGGACTCTAGCATCACCACACCTTAAACAGCTCTTTCATGAAAATTCACAGTCTCAAAGGAAAGAAAACAAAATCCAGTAACAAACCCAAGCTAACTGCAACAGCCCTCCGGACAAAAAATCTTCTGAAGCAAATCAGGCGAGTGCAAACAGCAAAAGAAGGAACTGCTAACACAGAGTAGGATTAAGAACTAGTATAAGTGGACTTCTCAAAAGAGCTAATTCTGCCAGCCTAGTATTTCAGCTTAAGCAATTGGGAATTTTCCTGCTGTAAAGTCAATCTACTCAGAGAGCATTTGAAAATTCCATCTCTTGTAAGGTGGAATGACTCTACATGCAAGAGCTACCAAGGCAACCAGCAGAGAACGACGCATGAAAGACGAGATGATGCTATTCGTATGGAAAAAGCAATCATGGTCTCCAAATAAGCTAGACCCAGAAGACTTGAACCGAATATATTATTTTTTTATACACCAAGCTACAGATAAGTACCGTAATTTAAATACTTCCACTGATTTAGAAAAACACCATCACTTCATTTTTAAAGATAATTTGGTCAAGTGCAAAAGAAAAGGGAGAAAAAAGAAATCTAGATTAGACCATGCGAAGGTGTGCTTTCAAATTTGCGTATACTGAAAGAATTAAGAAACTGAACCCGATCTTTCAGTAAACCTGCCCAAAGGTGGTCATGTTCCACAAAAAGGTTGCTAATTTTGCTTCTATTAGCTATAGATCATTAACATTATCTTCAATTAAAACGTGCAAGCGTCCAAGTTTCATTGTGTGCTTTTGCATATTCATAAAAGCACCTCATTAACGTCTTTGATCCTACGATACAAGGTTCGCAACAATTCTCAAAAATCACAAGACGTAGACAGGTACGTTCTGTCGTGCTTACTATTACGGCAAATACTTGCTAATAGCTTCAACTCTTTAATGGGAATTATTTTCATTCTATTAGGAAATTCCTTGCAACTCCAATAGGCATTTTATTTCATGAAGACCACAAGAACACATACCACATAAAACCATCTTTACTTCAGTGCTCGAATTACTCACCTGTGGACATAATGTAACTGATGAACAGAATCAATAGCTATCACCATTTCAGCCAAATAAAAACGAGCCATATCTTCAGGTAGTCTGTCCTCAAACTTGCTGAGCAAGGTAAGCAGGTCTCCTCCAACATAGTAATCCATAACCAGGTACTATGGAGGAGGGAATGACAAGACAGCAAAGAGAGAAAACAATTTATTGAGTGAATCAGAGGCTAAAAAAATAATTCAAGCACCAAAGTAATTTACTGCAAAAATTACGGGCATTATAAAAGCTAACTTAACATTTCTCAGAAATGCAGTTCTCCAAATAAACTGAGAGGCTTGGATGTCCTGAAAACAGTAACTGTGTTTTAACCTTATTTTAATATTTAACCTACTTCAATATTTTTCATATTTACATATAGCCAAATATATTAAGCCTCATGATAAAATATACCTCCATTCTCTGCCCCATAATCGTAACTTATTTACGATATTTAGATACTCTGGATTCTCTTATAAAAACAACCGAATCCCTCAACTGAATGCAAAGGACTGAAGGCCTTATGAAAGCACATAATTGTAAAAACAAAAACAATGGTGCTAAATTGAGATGTTAGCCAAGAACCCTCATTTTCCAGTACTGTATATGACAGTTTCCTCTTCCCTTTTTGCTACTGTCTTCCTTTCCCATGAAACAAATTATTTCGGAGAATAAACTTTTTAGACTACTCATAGGTTATGGGTAAGACTGACAGGCTTCCACTGGCTCAAAATACAATTTCAGATATTGTTGACATTGTGCATAATATAGGATCTGCCAACATAGAGTAGAAGATGTTACCTGCGTAATCAAATTCATGGAGACAAATACTTTCTGATTTGGGAAGCTAAGATTTTGAAGAGGTCAGAACCTACTACTGTGCAAAACCATTATCCTTCCAAAATGAAGGAAAAGCACAGATTCAAGGATGTTAAATTCTAGTAGTTAATAACTATAACACATGGGCATTTCATCATGAATTACATGAATTCTATAAAGGTCACTTGTACTATATTTAATTTTATTTTAATAAAAGACATATAGAAGCAGTAATACACTGACATATACTAAAATGATGAAAAATAACTTTAATAATGTTTTCCCCAGCAATCTGCAAAACTAGCTCACATTAGCAGACTATCAAAGTTAAAGAAGAGAAGCTGTAGCTAAGTTAAAACAAATTCTAGCAGGTTGCAGCTAAATATATAACGTTATCCTTGTGCTACTGTTAACAGTAAGAGCAGAATTATATTAAAAAAGAGAAGTTATTTATTGTCCATATTAATTAAGCATGGAGAGAGGGGGTTTTAAGACAACCGTTAGATTCACAAACGCAGAGCCCTGTGTCTGTTATAAACTCAACCAAGATCCATGGATCACTCCAAGTATCTATTATACTGGTAGAACTGAAAGCAATACAGCAGCAAAAAGCATCACAGTTTGCAAGAGCGCTGTGTGTACCGTTTCTTTTCTTGGACAAAATAACAAAAAAAATTATTATGAGTCTTCACTGCATATTAGATTTATAAGGAAACATTAAAACTTAGTAAGGATATAGCATCAAAAGCATAGAGTAATAAAACCCAAATAGGCAAAATCTATCAACTTGTAGTTGTTTATCTTTTCAGGCATAACTATTACCACAGCTGTAATATCACAATCAAAACATATTTTAAGTGGGAAAGGTTTCACAGAAAATTGGCACTCCTTATTGTACTACCTTATTTTTGCAAGTCTTGCAAACGTTTGAAAACTAAAGGATATAAAATATTAAACAGATACTTTAATCTACAGTTACAACCTCCAACTCTATTTACAAAGATTTAGCAGCATTCTTCCATGCTGCAAGGAATTCTTTATTTTTTATTACTCTCCAGCATCTTAGTGGTTTCAAATCCTCCAAAAAAGCAGGCAAAGACCCGTCCGAATGAACTCAGGACTCCCTCCCTCTCTGTTCTTTCAAAAATAGGGCTTCCTCACTATTTCAAAATGTGAAACAGTAATCAGCAATATTAGCCACAGAAATGGAGGTCAAATAGAAAGCTTATGTCAGAAAATATGCATACTTTTATTTTTATGGATCTGATTACAGGGGCAAATTTATATCCAAATTCTAGGACACAGATGGGCCAATAATGAAAAGGTTTTTAATCAATAAATGCAAAGTGATTCAGAAAACAAAGCTGCATTCTTGAGATATGTATAGCAAAATTTTAAATTGTCTGACCACCCTCCCTCCTGCAGAATCTTACATACGGATGCATTTGGGTCTTTATGGTCCAGAACATAAAACTAACAAATGAATAAATAGGCCTAATTTGCATCGCAAACCACAACTAACAATCTGAATACCCATTAATATACACATAAAAGCAACACTCACTAAATAGTTTTCATCCTGGAATGCGTAATGCAATGTTGTGATCCACTGATTATCTCCATTCACTAACACATCTCTCTCCTCTCGAAAACAGGCTGTCTGAAGGGAAGAAAAATAGTTATTACAGGCTTTAACTAAAGCATACAAAGAAACACATTTTGCAAGGTGAGTATTTATTTTTTAACATGATGTTTGAAAGAACTGCCTCTCAATTAAAAAGTCACTTACCACACCCTCCAAACATGCCAAAACGTGAGAAAACCTGTATACCAGAAAACTCCACCTTCTTTAAATGTAAACAGTTGTAGTTCTCTGCGTTGTTGACGTGAAGCAAAGGAGGAAATAAAGCTTCTTCTCATCATCTAAAGATTCCTAGTCAAAATCTGATCCTTTGTATACATACACATACTGAAAGCCAGCGTCAGTGATGACAGAATAGCAATATAACACTGAAGAAAACAATTAATAATAGCATTATATAATTATAACTGCAGTGGGAGTTGACTAGAATCTGGACTATTGTATTATTGGTTTCTCTCATGCTGTTAATCTAGTTTTACACTGCTGTCCTCATGTAAGCACAATTTTTCTTTTCATTTCAAAGTAGCTGCTAATAACTTCCATCCAGCCATAAGTTGGCAACCACAAACCAGTTGGGGTTTTCCCCATGCTGAGGAAAACGAGAGCAGACTGAATTTTCGTTTTATTAGATAAAAGCTGTTGATAAGACATCCAGGAGGATCTCGCCCCCAATAGAGTGGAAAGAAAGAAACAACAGAGGTAAAAGGTGCCCTCACAGCACGGGCAACAGAGGAAAAGCAAAAACTACCAAAAAGCGCTGAGAAACATCTAAGAGAATTAGGAGAACACAGGTTTATTTAAAACAAAGGAAGATAAAACGTGAAGAAGAGAACTAATCTCAAAAGCAGTGAGGCAGTTTTAATTCAGTGGAGGTCTGCCCTGAAAAGTCAACAGGCTATGCCACGAAAAGCAGCTTTGGTGAATGACAGCAGAGGAAGACCAACAGATCCCTTTTCGAAGGGATTAAGTTCTGAAGTGAACATTGTAAGAAAATATGAAGTGCCAACTAGCATGGCAAACATGCACTTTTGTTTGGAAAACGGGAACTCCCAAGATTACAGGAAAAAATGTCTCAAGGATAGCTTAAAAACTAATAACTGAATGGGCTCCATCTAGAAGGCAGATGGAGAGTTAAACACAGAGCATAATCTCCTCCAGCACGCTGCTACTTCACAAACCTGTTTCATCAATTTGAACATACTCTGCCTCTTCCATCCTAGGAGACAGCTAAATTTTAAAGGAGAAAAAAAAATTAAGCGGTTTCTTACTACTTTTCCAATTTTGTTTCCAAAAACAATAGCCAATACCAGAACTCTGACATGGTTATGGCTGGCTGTGAGATTTGGAGAAGGAAGAATGAAAAGAGAAACTTCATTTTAGACTGAGCTATGCACAAGAATAAAAGCAGTAAAAAAACAAAGCAGAAAATAAGTCTCTCGTCTGAACAAGCACACCATGCTAAGGCTTGTTTTGCCGAATAAAGTGAGCAAGCACGATACAGACTAGGAAGGAGAAACGTGATACATTTTAATTATAGCACAATGCATGAGATAAATCAGGAATAACTGAAACTTGTGAATGAAGTGAATAAAGCATACTACAAACAAAGACCTTCAAAGATAGTCCAAAGATTTTTCATTTGGCTATAGGGAAAGGAAGATTTTCAGCGGGAAGCAAAGCTGTTCTGTATTTCAGTTTAATTTCTTTTTCCCTTCTCGTTTGTAAACTCTGGACAGATAGTCGGCAGAGAGAAACCATGAATTCTTGTTTTCCCAAAGATAAACGATGTAGTTTCTCTACTTGTTACTCGACTACCCATAGTATTGATTACTACAGAGAGTCTACAAAATTCTATTGCTTTTTGCCATGATTTCACAAAAGATGACACTCCTTGAGCACCCTAAACACCCACCTCTGGCCAATATGCCTGGAGCCGACAACAACAGCTTTTACCACAGTAGATCACAGTTGAAAAAATAAGAGCCAAGCAGTTGAACCAACTGGTTCATGGGCTTTGCATTAATTCGGGGGGGGGGGGGGAAGGGAATTGCAGTGGTTCTTGCGTTTACTGTAACATGGCTCACTTGCAGGTTTTTTATATCCATGTTTTTGTGCTGTGTTATAACAGTTATATTTGCTTCCATATAGAACAAGCTTCCAGAGTAGATTCAATTGTATGAGCATAAATGTGGCATACATGTTTTTATCAATGCAACTGTGTTTGCAGTGAGATCATACTTTAATGGAATTAGTAAATGCAGCTGTTTCTAAAAGGATGCATTACACTTGTGCTCTGCCTCCAGAGTTCCCTCTTCTTTCCTCCCAGGGTCCCAAGGCTGAGACTGTCCATCCTGACTCCACGGGCACTGCACAAAGAACCCCTTCCCCAAATGCCAGGCTCAGAGGCAGCAAAGAGAGATACAGAGCAAACTCCTTCAGCTCTTCTGTGGGCTGAATATACATCTCCATAGTCTTAGTCTCTTGGGAATATGTCAAATTTGGCCTGACTACAACCACTGTAAGGTGGGGGGGGGGGGAAGGGAAGATGAATCAAAAGCCTTTTTTGTTGCTCATGCATCATCTCAACATTTCATCTCCTCTGGGGACAGTGAATGGCAGGGGAGACTTGGAGAGCGCTGGGTCTCCTTGAATTGTTGGCAGAGATCTCCAGAGGTCATCTGGCCCAACTCCCTGCTTATAGCAAGGCCCACTTAGATTAGCTTAGTGCTTTGCTATATCTGTGCTGTTATCGTGGCCTGTAATTAGCAAGAGGATTCGGGCCTCTAGGCTATTTGGTGAGTATTGGCTCATGACCTCGCAGCTCAGAGTTAGCACCTTCTGCGAGTGCTGACTGCTTTCACGCTGTGTAATTCTGGCCCTGGTCTCTTCTGAGCCTCATCTGCCGCTCTTGTGGCAGAAATCTAACTGCAAGTGATTGTCAGCACTCAGGGTAACGCAGCAGGGAGCGAACGGGCAACAGCAGCAGGCTTTCAGCTACTCCTTGAACCAGTAACGTCCCCATTTCCACATCACATCTCAGTTTTCAACAGTTGCAAGTATTTGGAAAACTTCTGCTCTTTATAATAAAAACGAGAATGTTGACATTGCAGCCTATATAATCTTCCTGTAACGCAGTTTTTGCATACAACTACCCAAAAACTAGACAATCTCAGATTTACAATAAACCCTAATCTGGTATTTACAAACCTCTGAGTATATAATCCCTTTCTGCTTTTCCAAATGATTCCCACTTCCCGCAGAGCTGATACTAGGATACATGAACTACTGTTTATGTATATGTTTACCTATGCACTTGTCTTGTGTTTTTGGAGTATATGATTTTCATACGTGTTTCAATGTTTGTGCATCACCTTGTGAATACTGCCAAAATATGTCATTGTAGCAGGAGTAGTAATAAATCAGGTGTATTCATCAACATTAAGAAAGATAAGCTATAGTTATTGAAGGTCATGCTTTGTCATGCCTTTTCACTCCAGATGGTTCTTTTTCCACTGCATACCCATGGGTCACCAAATACATGGAAAAACATAGCTGCAATTCTTTTCAGGCTAACTGTTCCAGACTTTCAGAAATTCAGCTGGACCCAGGGGAGGGGTACTTTTAATACCTTGCACAGTGAAAATCCTTCAAACCTATTTATAACTTTATTTTAATGGAAAGAAATAGCTTTTAAACTGATTTTAAAAGGGAACATTTAAAAATAGAGCAGAACTTTATTTCTGGTCTTTTCTTTCTAACCGAAATAATATAACTTACAGAAATGACACCTATCTTGGAGAGAAATACCTCTTTCTATTAATGCCAGATTTTTCAGTACCTCAATAATTTCTGGATAAAGAGGAAACACATTGGGTGTGTCTAATCACAATCTGCATGCCATTTATATTTTTTAATATGTTAAAATTTTCATTAAAGAGACAGGATGCATCTTTAAAGGGCTTTAATGTGTCTGGGTAAATTTTTTATTTTTTATTTTTTTAAAAGTGTGATAGTTACCCATTGATCTCACTTCCTACCAAGATATAATTAAAACATACATGCAGAAATCAAAATAAACTTGGAAGCAATTGAACAAAAGGACAGCCTGAAAGTAGCAAAGTAAAGGCCTCAAATAAAAGCTGAAGTTAGGGATAATTTGACCAGACAAGTCACCTTGACACCTAGACACCTTGACACCTAGACACCTAGGTGTCTAGGTGAAGAGACACCTAGATAGTGTTGTTTGTGCTGTCTAAACCAAAGAAAGCCCAATGGCCAGAGCAACTTTATGTGTAAGTCACTAAGTTTTATTTTTATAAATCTATTTTTAAAGCAGTTTATTTTTAGCATGCATAAATGAAGAATTTCAAAGCAATTTAAAAGTTAGATACATGTTCCATTTAAAACTAATACACAAGCTTTCAGGTGTAGAGTGCATTTTAGAAGAAGTCTTTTTCCAAAGGCATCCAGGGAAACGTACTGAGGAGCCCAGGAAGGGCTAAGTTGCATAACGAAAGTAGGAACCCAAGTCAAAGCGGTGCTGGTAACACAACCGTTCCACCTTTTCCAGCACGTAGAGCAGGCTCAGGCCTTAATGAGGAACTTTTCATCACAAAGTTTTACAAACAGACTTTTTTTTATGACACACTGTCTCAAGGTAATCTGAAACCTATACAATAGGTTAGTTAACCTACTATTAATAGTATAGTTAACTAACTATTAATAGGAAACCCATTTTTCCTATAATCTATTTTTATCTTTCTAATTTTTCAATCTAAAAATCAGACCCTGACTAATTTCTAACGACCGATGAACTAATGGGCTTAGTGAGTTAGACCTCATTAATTTCCAAATACCAAAGATTAGATGATAAAGACTACACTCCTAAATGGAATAAATACATTAAAAGATTGCTTGTATAGTGGGAAATTCTTAGGCAACTTTAGAAATACCATAATTTCTACTACCCACCTAAAGAGAGACTCCATGCCATTTCAACCTTTCCCAAATCCTGCTTTGAGCTCATTTTAAAATTAAACTTATTCTGTCAGAAAGTAGTGAGGTACCTCCTCAGTCCCTACATATGTACAAGAGTCTCCCCTTGGAAAAAGAACTAATGACACAGCATAGTAAGAAGGTGCATGATTACAAAAAAATATTTCTGAAATTCTTACTTCAGCTCTCTTCAGCATCTCCCATTTATTAAGTATCTTCATCGCAAAAACCTTATCTGCATTTTTCAATTTTACTACTGCAACCTGAAAAAGATAAATGAAAGACAAATAAGTCAAAATATGAAAACACAAACTGTTTTTCTATTTATGAAAACCTGCGTGTTTTCTTTAATTTCTTTTTCATTATTCTGGACACCCATGATACCATACCATCACTATCCAGAAAGAGGAGCATCACAACACTACAGAACATTTATTCTGTGGAAGTTCCAAGCCTATTTTAAGCTTTCACTGTGTATCACTCTTTCTAGGTGACAAGAGAGGAACAATGGTATTCCGCACTATCACGCTTCTATCATATCGCCATGAAACTACCACTAGCTTTTATGTTCCATGTTCTTGGACTCACTCTCTCAGTCCAGACAATAACTTAAATTAGTGAACCATCAAAGAAAAGACAGCAATGTAGTAGCTTCTGAAACTAAGAAATATTAAAATTTTAGCTTTTAGACACACATTATGACAGTAGGCTTGCCACAAAACAACTTCCTTTCATTCCAAACATTGCACTAGACTTTCTTCAAACAGACCATAAAGTATTGTTTCAGGTTTCTCCATTTTCACTTCAATGGGTTCTTTACAATGTCTACTGTCAGTGGCAGGAAACTAGTGAAATTCATGCTTCCTAGAAAAGTAAAACTTCGAAGCCCACCCCAACCTCACTATTTTTTTAGCATGAGATAGCACAAGCCTGTGAAATAACACATTAACAAACGGAACATACAGAGCCTTTTTCTGAGAATACTGCAGTTTAGATTAGTTATAATAAAAGCTAAGATGGGGTATATTTTTTTAGGAAAGAGGGAAGACAAGTTTAAAGAGGTTTACACAAACTTGTTTTCTTAAAATATTTACCGGAAGTAGAGTTAGCTTTCCATACGCAGGGAACTGAAGCGTCTTACCCAAAATGGCAGTGAATCTGCCACAGACTATTAGTCATAGCTGCTGATCAGAATTAGACCGGATCACAGTATTACCTTCCCTGTTATAGAAGAGTTCATCAACTCATATATTTTAACAACTATTCTCCAATTATCCCATTCCACCTGCTCCCTTGCAAGGACTTTAGGAGATAAAAGTTTATTTCTGTCTGCATCTGGTTACACACTAACATACTGTCATACAGATTACCATCATTTTTATCCTGCAGGCCAATGACAAAAAAAACCCCACTAAGGTTGAATCCTACATCCATTTCAAAATCAGTAAACTAGCTATGTGTAAAGACAGAACTAACAGAAAAGAAAATATAACACTAGACAGTTTGAAGAAAATATACTGTAAATCTCTTTAAACCATCTTCAAATGTGTCATCAGCTGCAGTAGCTTCATGAACATGGCAAAAGTGCATGCTGAACTCTTACAATACTCAGATATCTAAACTAAAGTATATTTAAAAGCATATCTCATGCTTAGCTACAGATCCCATGGAGCAGCTGTCGCTTCTCGCGTGCAATAATACGTTATCAGCCCCTTGCTCTTTACACAGCTCCCTTTGTGAGGGGAAAAACAAAAAAGGAGGGGAGACACAAAGGTATTAGATCTACCCGTTTTAATTAGTTAATGAACTGACATTTTTAAAGGCGACTTCATGAATAAAAATCTAGGTTCAAGTCCAGCCTTGGAATGCCTCAAGGTACATTCAGATTTGACACACATACACACAAAAATTTAGTTACTCGTGACTATAATCTAATTTTAATTCATAAAGAATATCTACTCTCATGTGCGTGTTCAATATGGCACCCTAGGACTGAGCATCACAGTTTTCCTTAGGAGGAAAATATCAGTCCTTTGTGGCACTACGTAACCCATAACATGGATTTCAAACATTGGTCTCCTGTCACTTTACTAGCTGAAACTAGCTTGAAACTCTGGTAAGCCCATATCTGTATCCACTCCTAATGAGGAGTATCAGGAGGAAAAAGCCTTAATATTGCAACTAGTCAACAATATTCAAATTGTATCGTATCCCAGATGACAGGGACTCACCTGCATGATATAGTCTTGATATGAAACCACTATGTAAATCTACCCTGAACACCTTCAAGGGTTGTGCCATTATTACGGGGGAAAAAAATTAAAAGGCTGCTCCTAGAGTTGACTACACAGCCGCTGTCCAGCAGGAGGAATTGTGTTCGCCCCCCCAAGAAACAGTTGGGGAGCGGGCAGCCAAAGATGCAAGCAGAAGATAGGGATTTCACTTCCAGCTTCAGGACTTCCTTAAGCATCCTACAGTGCACAAACGAAAGGCCAGTGCCCTATACGGCATTCACTTGGACACAACTGAAGGAGCTACAGGATTGCCTTTGGTTAATAGCCGGAGTGTAGGGCTTCATAAGACGACTGAGGGCTTTGTACCTTTTTGTGAATCTGCAGCAGTATTGTAGAACGAGTAAAGAACAAAAATAGATCTGTGTTTACCAGCTGTGTTTACAACCAGCCAGAGGCAGTCTTTCAGCCTGTGAAAGCCATTAATGCTATTCCATATCAATAACCATCATGAAGAGAAAAAAAAAAAAAAAAAAAAATCAAAAAAGCATCGTCATTTTTCTGCAATCACAGCATCTTTTTGTGGGTGTCTCAGTGCCTTATGAAAGTAAATTTGAAAGAGCTCAGCCTAGAATTTGACTATGAAACAAAAAGCGGACACTTCAGTAATGAACAATCTCATGTAGATCCTAATTATAACAAAAATTCTGAAACCTGATTACAGACCCAGGCAGTATTTATACATACATACATATATATTTATTACGTATACAAAGGCACAAACACAAAGTGCTGTTTCGATATTCTCCCTATCTGAAGGAAGCTGTTAAGATGGAAGAAAGGGTAATCATTCCAGTCTAGTTATCCCAAAATGTCTTGTTACTGGAATTTATTAAAATTGGACGATTACAGTTTTTTTTTTTTAATTTATATTTCACTGTGAGCAGCCCTACAAAAATGATTGGTATGTGCTGATGTAAACATCTTGGTTTTAGTTGGATTTTATTCTTTTTCATTCTTCCAACAGCATTCCATATTTCCCACAAACAGCAGTACAGTCTGGCACACTGTCAAACACCTTCTGCCCCAAACTTGGCTTCCTGTCTCTATGGTAGATGTCTGCACGTTTCCTTTGCCTAAAAAGCAACACCCTTTAAACACAAGCAGCTAAAACAGAAGCTGAGGAAAAAAGGATGAGGGAGAGCTGGGGAGAGCCAGGGTTCTCTCATTCACCAAGAGTAGCCAGCCTTCCAGAAACCAGGACTATGTTTCAAAGGCGCATACCGGGAATTAGCTGTCTAATTTCTATTGAAAAAATAACGGCACCTGAGCACAACACTTCTTTGACTTTTCTTAGAGAGTCCTACTTGATGTGACCAACCCAGCCTGGACTGAGGTGGGAAAGGGAGGAAGATAAAATGTGTCTATTCAAAATTAGGAATGACTAATTAGTTCTCAGGGCCAAAAAAATCATCATCTTAGAAATATCAACAACATAGTGATGTAATATTTGCTTGCATAAGGGAGATAATTCAAGCACCGGACTTCATATACGTTTTTAAGCAGCAGAGTGAACCGAAAGAAAATTACAGTATTATTTAGAACCTTAACTCTGCTGCACTTCCGTACTGCTGAGAGACACCAATAAGACCTGTCACCTCTCGGTTTCAACAGTGGTCCTTCACTTTTTTTTTTTTTTTTTTCTTTTTTAATAGCACCCTTCAACTCCCAAGTTTAAAGTCTTTCTGCTTTTGGAGGTGTGTGTTGAGTTTTTTCAAACTACACTGCCCAAAGCCAGCACACTCAAACACTTGATGCCCACATCATGACTTTTACCTGGAAGATCCTCCTGCTCCCACCAAAACATCTGTGTTTTCTGAAGGCTGCGCTCTTACACACAAAAGCTTAAATAAGTAAGTAAACGTACTCATGGAGAGGGGAGGTGCACACCATTAATTTGACAAAAAGCAAGATTCTCCGAGTTACATCAAGCAGGGTAAGGACTCTAAGGGAGTATAAAAGACCAAGAACTATGACCTCTTACAGTTCACATATCATTATAAGCAATAACTGGTTATAAGCAACTGCTTATAAGCAGTAATTGGTTTCAACTGCTTTTTGTCTACCTCGACCTTGTCAAAACAGAAGAAAACTATTTCTTGACTGTCAATTAAAGAAACTGAATAGCGCAGACTGAATATAAGACATTGAATGAATATAAGCCTGAGACTGTGCCAACAAAAGCTTGCACAAACTTTGCAGTCCATAAAATTTCAGAATTAAGTTGATTCAGGAGACAAAACTACTCCTCCCAGAAACCTAGAGCAACCTTGGTCTCCTTTGCACTTTGCCAGAAAGAAAATACATTCTTCTAGATTTCTTGATCTTCCTCAGTAAACTACTGCAGTCTATTGAATCACTGAAGTATTTTGCATTTTATTATTAATGTAGTTTCTTTTGTTTTAAGCTGCACTAATATTTGGTAGTCCTTTCTTAAACCTTCCTCAGCTATTTATTAAGTTAGTTTAAAGGAAAATCACTAATTTCACACAGAACTTTTAGGTTTTTCAGACAAAAGTCTGGGGAGAACTTTAAACTTAACTAGCAAGTAGATTTAACACATATCCCTGCAAATATTTTTGAAGTCCTACTTTAAGAAGATATAGAAATTAACAGCATCATTGAAAGCGCTGCACTTTTCCCCTTACTGGAGATTTTGACAACTGAGTGGACTGATGCTATCTTTCCAGAATAAAGAATTAAAAAGACAAACACTGTATCTAAAAGAGGAGACTCTTGTGCAGACTGTCCTCAGAAGAGGATGTGGAAAGTTACACTCTTACTGTTCACGTTAAGAGTCACCACAAAGAAGCTTCCTGAGAAAGTAGTACAGTTTTTGCGATTTAGCTGCTGTACACTTTGATGCTGATTCAGCAGACAAAAATGACTTCTCTTAAAAACACAGCACAATGCAGGTCTTCCATATGATTTTCTGACAAAACAGTATCTGCATCTGGGATTTTTCTTACATCTTACAGAATTTGTACGTGAACTGAGCTGCAATTACTATTGCAGCACTGAAAAAGCCACTGTTTTATGCAGAACTATTTTGCTCACAAAGGTGAATGCAACACTCTCCTCGTGGCAGACGTCAACATTAATACTTCTTTACAAGACTAATTCTTATTTCAGACAGAGTAAAACAAGTGAAAACAATAAATTAGCTAAATAAATACTACTGAAGTCATTTTTACATCTGCTCAATGATATCACTCACATAGGGGCAGCATTAGAATACGTAGTAACATACAATACAGTAAAAGTTCCAGTTCCTTCAGTACCACTATAGAAGTTTGTTCTTCTGCAACCATACACTAGCAAAGTCTACCTTTACCACATGAAGCAAATATGTAAAAGAACCAGAAACCAACTCTTCCTTGTCATTTGGCGTGTAGCCTCCAAAAATGCTCTCGCACCAAAGAGAACATTACAATCTGAAAAATGTTTCGAGTTCCAGGAGCAACAAAAGCATTGCTCAGAGTCTTTCTTATACTCCAGATTTCAGTGCATAGGTTTTTTTCCAAGTAGTAAGGAGTACTTTCTGAAGATGTATATATACATCTATGTATATATGTGCATGCGTGTGTGTATATATATATCTATGCATTATATGATAATATACTATCTTCATTTCTACTACATTTGGCCATCAAAAATTCAAGGCAATTATGTATTAGCTTGCCCTTTCTATATACATATTGTCCTGCAGGAAGATCATAGCACATACATCTAACAGATCTTAAGAAGAAACGGCAGAAAGCTAAGGTTTTTTCATTCTAGCTTCTTCAGCTTGCATAACCTGATATCCTCGGTATCTGTAAAGCCAGTGATCAACCGCCTTGCTTGATGACTGAAAATAAGAGAGGGTTTGATCAGAGGCAGCAGAAAATGTTATCACCATAGTTCAACAGCACTAGATGGCAACTGAAACGAAAACTAACATTTGGCAAATATTTTTAAAAAGTACAGAAAAAAAATATTCAAGTGTTCATTAAGAATTAGAAAAAAAAGGATAGGAATTGGGAGATTTCTATATGTTTCTAGAACGTCAATGTTAACATTTGGCCATTTAAGGTCTTGACAACTGCTCTCAGACTCTTCAGTTATCAGAACGATTAGAAATGACTAATGATGAACTTGATATCATCAATACTCAGCGGTCTCCATCTGCTGACTGTAAAAAACGGCAGTCAAGCAAACCTTTTATCACCAGACAACTGAAAGCAACATTGTCTTTTAATCTGCGTAAACTTGCCTTCTCCGAAAATTTAAGACTGAAAAAGAACCATTAATGGATGCATCCATTAAAATGTACTTAGATCAAATGTTAGGTTGGCCTACAATATCCTTTATGCCTAAATAACGTAGAACTGTTACGCCAGCATATTGCTATTAGCTCTCTCTCCTCAGTGCCCTGGGTTTCCAAGGGCACGTTCAAGCCACTCCTTCCCATACATACCTCCCCAAAGGCTCCTCGACCAATCACCTTCAGGATTTCAAAATCTTCTTTATGTAGTCGCATCTGTTTCACTTTAGATGTAAAAGGTTTGGCTGAAACAAAGGAAAATATCAATCATCAAAAATAGAAAATCCTAGGGAACAATAGCCCTGAAAACAAGACTATTTTGCTTTTATACCTATATTCCCTAATGTAATATTCTGAAGTTTAAAGCAGGAAATAATGAACAATAAGAACTAAGTCAAAACTTTCAGTATGCCGTGAAAGTTAGTTTATGAAAGCTGTCTACATTTTTTTATAGACTTAAAGTTCATAGATACATTACATCTGTGTTAAACGTTGCGATCTCCAATAGCAAAAGCAAAGTATAACGTAATGAAGGGTCCACTCTGGAAAAAACTATGTTATATTAATTTCTCTGCCAGACAGCAAATCATTATTGTATTCTACAGAAAATTAAAATGCTGATGAAAGACTACTGGAACAGTAATACTGCCCTAGACTATGTATCACGCAATATTTCTGCAGATCACTTCTCCAAGATAGAGGACGCTCAACAACAGCTGCACTTCACCAGACCTTAACAACACATTCAGTGAAAAAACCCAAACAGATATAAAGTTAGCCTTCATTTCCCTTCCCTTTTTTCCTCTTTTATATTATCTTTGAAAACAGGAAGCAAAATAAGAAATCACATTCCAACGAGGTAACTCCACCACTCTCCACAATGAATCGGTACCAGAACAGCTCTTCTAGTGATGAACTCTCCTCCCTTCTGTTAAAATAGAAGCTTCAGCAAAAATGGTTCATAAAAACTGCACATGAAAGAAGGTTGTATAACCCAGTGCGTGCAGGACCGGAATGGGGCTCGGAAGAGGGTCTTCTGGCTCAGAGGCAACCTTTCTGAACGATCCTAAACCACTCACGCCAGATACTTCATCTACAGTTTCACATCAGCCAAGGGGGATGGTATCCTTCTAACAGGCAGGGCATTCACCACTGAATGCTCAGACCAAGAGGAAAACAAAACGGCAAAATGTAAGGTAGCTGCTTTATCTGGCCCACAAAAATCTGATAACTTACACTTTCATGATATAGGGATTCACCTGTATCCGCTTGCACCTGCACAGAGCCTGGAGGAACTCATACAGCTCTGTGTGTATTGCAGAGCTGGAACAGACATCGTTTTGCAGTACTGTTTGTCAAGAACCGTGTTTCCTCAACATAAACAGGAATTGGTTTGCAACAGTTCCAAAAACAAATGACGCTACACAACAACCAAAGTACACCTAGACACATGTAAAAAAGGCAGCTTGCATTCTCCTAGAATTCAATATTTTGGCTTTCCAAAGGAGGAAGAAAAAGAAGAGAAATGCACTTCAATTACATCCCTATTATGAATTAATCTAAAAGCCTAATATTTGTGTGTATAAAACTCATCATTCAATTCAGAATTTTGATATGAACATGCACAACCCTTCAAAGCACTGTAAAATCCTTGTCCACAAATCTGCTGCTTACTATTCATGAAAGCAACTTTATAAACTGAGTCAATATACAAACTACCAAGATCAGTAAATTCTTAATACCTAACAAAACCACAAAACTTCTTTGCCCCAAATATTTACAGGTTATTTAATCCATAAATTAACATTACAATTCACATCTAAAAATAACAAAGCAAAAACACGAGGTCTCCTCTTTCTCCTGTTAAGCAATACAGCACAACTCCCTTTATGTTAAAGGTATAAAGGATCGAATTCTGGGAACGTATGCATGTCTACACTCCTGAACTAACCACAGAAATGTATTAGCTTAAGTATCTGCTAAATGAGACAGTTACAAAATGAAGACTAAACTACCCTCAAATTAAACGATATTGACCTTCCTCAAAATGTAGTACCATCGTGCAAAAAGAAAATACACATACTTGAACACCTAGGTAGACTAGCTAGCTAGCTAGAATCCCTTCAGACCCCAAAGTAACCAAATTCATGGTACTGTTAAATAGCAAACCAACTACTTTCATAACTACTCCAGATATCATCCTATAAGTAGGATTTAGATATTTCTTAAGAAATTGGTTTTGTTGCTGCATTAATCAGTTACCGTGTCATCCAATAGTACTAACAGAAGCCATTCATAAATGACAAATAAAATAAAGTGGGGAACAGGCTTCAAAATTAATTTTTTTCTGCTCCATTATAAGAACAACATCAGCAACCTTTAAGAAATCCAAACCACTTCACTTCAAATTTCCAAGATTTTGGGATAAGAATTAAACTTGGCTCTGATTGTAAGAAATAATATTGACAATACCTTCAACTAACACTGTAACACTGCAAGTTGAATTTTCTTATCAGACTGGAATGATACATTCCCAAGACAAAAATATTAAATATTTACTGTATTTCAGAACCCTCCCCCCAAAGTTCTTTAAAGTTACTCTGTGCATAAATAATAACATCCTCTTCCTCAGCACCCAGTTCGCATGCAGGGCTTTGCGCCTCCCTCCTTACTCTCACAAATAGTTCCACTGCCCTAAATATGTATTTCGAAGGTTGATTTACTAACTCCGCATTCTTGCACATAAGCAATTGAGACCATGTTACAATAACACCACTACCACCACCCTCCAGTTAGCACTGCTTGTATCCATATACAGGCTGAAATCAAAACTTAAGAGAAAAAGTGCAATACTTTGCCACAGTCCATGCAGCCAACTGAAAGCTCAGGCCCCCAGAGCGTAAGGGGCAGGTTCCACCTGGCTGGTTATGGAGGGAGTGGTAGGCTGAACTACCTGGAAATAAACCCTCTGCATAGCTGGGCAACTAACCTGGGAATATGTTGCTTCTCGCTTCTCAGATAATTTGACTGTATAAGCCATTGGAAAGTGATGGTAATTTTTTTGTTTGTTTTTTTTTTTTTTTAAATCTTTCATATCAGCCCTATTTTTCCTTCCTATTACATTCCTGGCACTGTGGCAGCAAATGCACAAGCTCTGCAAGCTTTTCCTGACACGTAGGTTGCAAAGGCTGAATTAAGTCAAATTTCTTAAAGCTCTTAAGATGTGAGGAATCAATTCTCTACAAGGATTTACATTTGTTGTAACTCCAGAAAGATCAGCTTGTGCTTGAAAAATTTAGTTTTTAGGTCCAAATAGTAAAGATGCAGCCATAAGACGGTGAGACTTTCATTTATTTTAGCAATGCTTTTGCTTTAAATTTATAATCAATTTATTCAAAGTATTTATTTATACAATCGAAATACAGATAGGTTTTTTTAAAATAGGATTTAACAGAAACACTTTTATCAGGTTCACAGAGCTCACCAAACTTTCAGTTACTCTTTTATACCTTAAAAGAAAAGTCTTGCAATAGACAAAGTAGGTGACAATGGAAAGAACTGCCTTACCGGGAGAGCATAAGCTGCACTGGTATCGAGTGATTCAGTACAACTATTAATACCACTGATGAATACTTTTTGAACAAATTAAACTAAGCCCTTAAAGTCTTTTAACTTACAAAACAACTGATTGAAAACAAACGTGTAGTTCTTGACTACAACATTTTTTGACCATTATAGGCCTGGCTAGAGTACAAGGCAAAATATCTTGTTAACAAGCAACAGCATAGCTGTTTAAACCACAAAACTCTTGCTCATTTTATATTGTAAGGAAAGGCCTGTCATTCTTTAATTAATACATTTTGGAATCTTCCAAGGTTCCCATAGGGACACTGGAAAAATAAACATCATTACAACTACTTCAGTAAAATACAGCAGACCAGAACAGGTTTGGATTAGTTCTAATGATTTGTAGTATCAGTGTTAGTGGAAAAGTTTGTAAAACCTTCTCTATAATTTCTTGATATCATCTCAAGCAACAGACATGTCAATGTATAGCCAAACAGCTTTATAAAGAAAGATATAATCCAAGGCGGGGGG